GCTTCCAGAAGACGGTGCTGGTGGGGGTGAGGCAGCAGGGCAGGGTGCTGGTCAAACACGCCTACAGCTTCCACCAGAGCTCGGACGAGGCTGCTGATTTCCTGGCGCACGCGGACCTGCAGAAACGCACCTCCGAGTACCTCATCGACAACTCGCTGCACCTCCACATCATCGTCCAACCCTGTCTACCACTCCCTCATCAAGGTGAAGAAGTAACGAGGCACAGTTGGGTTCAGCCCCTGCAGGTCTTCCTGCTCGTAGGTAGATTGGGGTCCCCATGCTGGGGGATTCCAGGGCTGCCCATCCCTCCCTAAGTGTCCTGTCCTGTCCCCATCGCTGTCCCTGGGGATGGGGTGTGCTGGGAGCCCCCAGTCCTGTGCAGGAGGTGAAACATGCAGCCCATGGGCACATCACAGACCCCAACAGACGCAGGGATGGGGACAGGAACAGCCCATCCTCCCTGTGGTGCCACCTCTGTGGCACTGGGGTCGTGGTGCTGGGTCTGGGTACCCCAGCAGCAGCACCCCAGGGCTTGGGAGTGAACTGGGAGCCACCCAGGCCGGGGCAGGGGATCCAGCTGCCTCCCCCAGAAGAAGAGGGGTGGTGGGCACTGTCCCCACTTGTGGCAACAGCTGCCCCATCCCTGCCAAGCACCCCATCCCCTTCCTAATAAAGCAAAAAATGAGTGTGGGAACGTGTGAGGCATCTTTGGGGTGACACCAGCTCAGCTCACTCCTTTTAATGGAATCCCTGGGAAGTACAGACACCCATCCAGACACCTGGCACCTGGGTGTCCCCATTGGCACCTGGCAGTGCTGGGGGGATGGCTGTGTCCCCTGTGTGCTGAGCAGGGGGAGAGGCAGAGATGGGATCCCTGAGCCCGGAAACAGGGCAGGGCAGCACCCTCAGTGCTGGGTTGGGGTGCAGAGAGGGGGTGCTGGGCTCTCCCCAGCACCCAAGGTGCCACCGGAGTGATGTCCTCACCGCTGTGCCGGTGCCGCCGGCAGCTGGTTAATGATTACCGGGGGTGAGCGGTCGCGGTGGCTGCCGGGCGGTCCTGCAGGGCTGTGTTTACCCAGCGCTGATAACCCCGGGGACAGCAACGTGGGGGGCCTTGGGCACTGCTCGGCACCACTCTGCAGCTGGGAGGGGCCTGGAGGGGACCAGGACACCCCTTCTGCCACCAGCTCCTCTGCTCTGCGGGCTGTGGGCACTGAGGAGCGTCCTGGCGTGACAAGGGGAGGTGAGGAGCAGAAGGATGGGACTTTCCCCCCCTCTACTCGACCCTGTGGTGACAAAAGACAAAACATGATGTGGCAAGCAAAGGTTTATTCACACCAAAGAAAATCAGGATGCAAAGGGTCAGAGAGCAGCTGTGGGGTCAAGGGGTTGCGCAGGGTCCCCCGTTCACCACCGACGGGGGCAGAGAGTCCACGGGCACTGCCAGGCTCATCCCTGCAGCAGCCACGGAGCAGCAGCCCTGGCACGGTGAAGCTGAAATGCACTGACCTTGGCATCCTCGTCCTCTTCCTAGCGCCGCGCAGTCCCCACCCCTCCTGTGCCCTCCTGGACCTGAAAGACAGAGACTGACCCTGTCCCCTGTCCTTGGCACGGTCCCTGCCGCGGTGGCTGGTCAGTCCCATTCCCGGTACCTCTCCATGTGGGAGCTGTGCCTGGCTCCTCCTCTGCCGCTCCGCCTCGATGGTGCTGAAAAACTCCGAGCGCGCTCGCTCGCTCGCCTCTTGGGAATCCTTTTCCTCCTCCTGCTCCTGCCGCCGGCTCTCCCTCGCAGCTCGCTCCCGCAGCTGCAGCTCCCGCTGCTTGTCCTGCACGATCTTCTCTCTCCTCGCCTCCCGCTCGAACATCTGCGGTGGGACTGGGGCTCACGGGGGCACACGGACTCCAAGGGGCAGCATGTTGTGTCCGGGGATGCGGGACAGAGCTCGGTGGGGCTCAGCTGTCACCTGGTACACACATACCATGGATGCCATGGACTTCTCGTTCTTCCGGAGAGTGCAGAGCCCTGAGGAGATCTCCAGGAGGGTGACAGTGCCCAGCTTGGAGCCACAGCCGATGACATACCCGTTGTCATGCGGGCGCAGGCTGAGAAGGGGCTCGTTGCACACCTGGGGACAGGTGGGTGGTAGCACTTAGCCCTGGTGTGATGCCCCATGGGGGAGGTCAGGCAGAATGAACTGTCAGAGACACGTGGGTCTCCTGGAGAGAGGGGCCTTGGGGTGCTGGGGACACACCTTGATGCTGAGGGAAGGGCTCTTCTGGTGGAAGAGGAAGTCCCAGATGTCCAGGGTCCCATCTGACCTGGCGGTGAAGAACATTGCTGGCTTCACGGGGCTCCAGCACCCATCCATCAGGTAGGGAATGTGGCACCTGCAGGCAGAGACAGCCCTCAGCCACACTGGCACTGCTCTGCCTTGGTGACCATTCTGTGCCATCACTCAGAGCTGACCCTGCTGTCCCCCATCCTGAGAACACACTCTGCCACCCAAGGGATGACTTTTGCCCAGGAGAACACACTGACACCTACTTGGTCACCATAATCGACGAATCCAAGATCTCCTCTGACCAGATCCGAGCAGTCCAGTCACCAACAGACAGGAAAACTTTGGGCAGGAGAGGGTTCCTGGCCACAGCATACACAGCCCTGACATGGCCTCTGTAGGTGCAGGTGATTCTTTCAGAGCGTGCCTTGGCATCGCGGTTGCAGGCGATGATACTGCCCTGCTCTGTGCCCACCAGGAACTTGGCTGGCTGGGGGTGGGAGAGCAGCTGTCAGCAGGATGGGGACCTCCCTTGGGGGATTTAGGGACTCAAATGCCAACAAGACCCTCTGATTTGGGAGCACATCACCTCCCAGTTCTTCCCAATGCCATCAGGCCCTGGGGCTGTGCCCATGGGGGTGACTGGGCAGTGCCCTGTGCCCTTCTGGGCTTGTCTGGGATCACCCAGGTCAGGTGGGCACAGAGATACTCACTGTGGTAGGTGCAAGGTCCAGGGACATGGCACCCAGAGCGTTGCTCAGCTGCCCTTCCTGGGTGATGTCCAAGACCAGTGTCTCAGTGGGCTCTGACAGCTTGCGGATGTCCCACCACAGCACCTGTGGGGACAAGCCATGGGAGGGGGCTCAGATGGGGGTGCTGGGGGGCCTGGAGCCTAGCAGCTGTCCCCTGCCAGCCCATGGGACTTGGATCTCATGCTGCTGAGGGGCAGCATGGGTGGGGGAAGCTCCTTTGGGTCCCCTTGGCATCCTTCCTGCCCCAGCCCCTTACCTGCCCGTCGGTGGAGGCTGAGAAACACTCTGTGCCCGTTCTGGAGGGTAGCCAGAGTGCTCCATACACAGGGTCCCTGTGGCTGAGCTCCACAGGGGACACCTCCACAGGAAGTGCCCCTTTCCTGGTGTCCCAGTATGCTGCAAGGGAAAGAAAAGCCCTCACACAGCTCCTTTCCTTGTCACGTATTTCCCCCACTGGAACTGGGAACAAACCTCACCAGGTGCTTCCCACTTCCCACTTCCCACCCCTAGGAGATGATCCAGGATGATGGGAGAGGTGGGAACACAGCACCCATCCTGCTCAGCCCCCACATCCAGCCATCCCTGTCATGGTTGCAACTGCCCTGAGCACTGCAAAGGGCTCACTGGCACTGTCCTCCCCTCCCTGGGTACCTGTTCAGGTGAGCACACAGTGCATAGACTCCAGGCTATGCTCCTGTGGGATATTCCCAGTGGCAGCACTAATGCCATGGCAGTGCTGGAGCCAAGTTTGTGCTGAATTAACCCCTCACACCTGCCCCATCTCCTTACCCATCTGCCCATTGTAGCAGCCTCCCAGCAGGAGATTCCATTCCTTGGGATTGTATTCCAGGGTCACCAGAGGGGATGATGGCTTGAGGATGAGGTCTGGCTTGTAGGGGTTTTCTGCCAAGGAGGGAGGAGAGAGGAGCAAAGGGTGAAGGCAGGTCCCCAAAACCAGTCTCCCCATCCTAGCCTCTTGCCACAGCCCTGCTGGGTGAGGTGTCTATTATTTCTTCCCACACTGCTGTGTGGGCAAAGCCCAAACTTCCCCACCGCCCTCCCTGGGGTGCTGTGAGGCCTCATCCTGCTCTCTGAGACACAAAAGTGCTTCCGCAGCCACATTATTGACTGGTGTGTTTTCTCTCCCCCTTACCCAGGTCCCAGATGTAGGAATCCAAGCTCATCTCTTTCCTGTTGTCCTGAAAGTTCAGGCTGGAATAAGCCACAGCCAGGGACTTGCCAGTGTTGGGGTGCCAGGAGAGGTGTGTGGCTGACCTCTTGACCATGTTTGGGTCCCTGTGGGGTGACAGGACATCCAGGGGGTTAGTTTGCCAATCCCTGGGATGAATGTCTCCCAAAGGGAACTGTGGGAATCACAATTAAATCAATCTGCAGCCCCTCCAGCCTTGAGTGCAGGAAATGACTCTCCAGGGGGTCGTGTGGGGGGAGAAGAGTTGATGATTTCATCGTCTTTCCAGTTATACCTTTCTAACAATCCAATTATCTTACTGGATCTGACTCCTAGAACGACCCAACAGCTCCTGGGGCTGAAATTAACCTCTGAGGCACCAGAAAATCAGAAGAAAAATCCCGAAAGCACCACCAGGAGATGCTTAGAGCTGAGTCTGACTCTGGTACCCATCCCCAAATCACCTAGGAGGGGAGGGATGGAGCAGGGAGGGATCAGAAGGTCTCTCCACCCACAAAATGATCCAGGATCACTCTAAACCCATTGGAATTTAGCTCCTAAAGCTTTTCCACCTCCTTTGAAGGTGGTTTGAACCTGCTGTGGCTCTGGAGAGCCTGGTGAGCCCCCCCAGTTGTCCTACCTGAGGACATTGATGGTTTGGGCAGAGGGAGGTTCATCTTCCTCTTCATCCTCCTCCTCCTCCTCAAAGTACTCCTCGTAGATGTCAATGGCATTGTTCTGCCTCACGCAGTGCTCCACCAGCTGCAGGGACAGCACAGTGTCTCTAGGGGTCCTGGGGGGCTGGGGGGGGGAACAGGGGCAGGGCCTT